TGGTTTCATATCTTACATTTAAGTCTTTAGTCCATTTTGAGTTTATTTTTGGTGGTGTAAGATAAGGATTCAGTTTCTCTTTTCTTTTTTTTTTTTGGCCTTGTGGATATCCAGTATTTCCAGTACTATTTATTGAAAAGACTATCCTTTTCCCATTGTCTTGTTGGTATCCTTGTCAAAGATTTAGTTGACCTTATATGCATGACCTAAGTTCTGGACTTTCTGTTCTGTTCTATTGTTCTGTGTGTTTGCTTTTGGGCCAGTACCACATTATTTTGATTACTATAGCTTTGTAATATAGTTTAAATTAGGAAGTGTGATGCTGCCGGCTTTGTTCTTCTTTCTCAAGGTCACTCTTGGCTATTCAACATCTTTAGTGATTTCATATGAACTTTAAGAATTTTTTTCTATTTCTGTGAAAAATTTTGGTAGGAATTTCAGTGAATCTGTAGGTTACATTAGGTTGTATGGACATTTTAATGATCTTAATCCTTCCAGTCCTTAAACACAGATATGTTTTTAGTTATTTGTGCCTTCTTAAAATTTTTTTAGCAGTTTTGTAGTTTTCAGTAAGTCTTTCCTCATCTTGCTTAAATTTATTTCTAAGTATTTTATTCTTTTTTGCTGTAAATGAGATTGCTTTCTTAATTCCTTTTTCAGATAGTTCATTATTAGTGTATAAACATGCAACTGATTTTTGTCTGTTGATTTTTGAGTTTTGCAACTTTACTGAAATAATTTATTAGTTTTACAGTTTTTTGGTATTCATTTTTAGTTATCTTATAAGAACATGTCTGCATGGCTGATGTATTATTAGGATGATTTTTTGTTTTGAAAATTGAGGGCAAGATTGTTTAAGTGACTAATTTGAAGTCAACTGCTAGTAAAGTGGTGAAAGGTAGGTCTTCCTAACATTTAATTTTTGTCTCCTAAACTATATTTCTCTTCTGAAAACAGATTAAGCATAGTATTAGGGTAGACCCAAGAGTGGGAGTGGGAAGAACATAACTGAATGATCTTATTACCTTTAGTAGCAGCCAGACAACTCCACCTCTATGGTGGGTACAAACTTGTAGCATGTACCAGATTTCCAAGTTAAGGGACAAGCAGTCCTTTGTAAAGCTTAGTGCTGAAGGCCTATTGCTGGATTTATCCTATTGAATGCCCCTTTTATGACTGTTTGTCAGATCATCCCAGTACTCTTTTATCAAGCAAAAGATAATATAACTTACTAGATATGTGCTCACTTAGCTGTGATCACAGCTTAGGCATGTTTAAAAAAAAAATTGGTGTTGGAGTTCTGAGACCTGAGTCCTGGTCAAGTGAATTCCTGGTACCTTCTAGTCATCATCACTTTGGGCAAGTCACTGAATATCTCAGTTTCAACACTGGTTAAGTTAACCATTTGAATTCAGCAATCTCTAATGCAGGGGTTTGTGTAAAGGGCCACATAGTAAATATTTTAGCCTTCGCAGGCCAAGAGGCAAAATGGAGGATATTATATAGGTACGTTTATAAGTAAGAGTGAAAGCTGTAGTCACACCCTTCCTCGTTTGCCTGGAGTAAGTCATCACAGACAGTGGGCATGCTTTGTGCTCATTTGCCATCAGCTGGAGACATTCTTGGGACAAAGGGGGAAGGGGCTTTGTGGACAACACGTGTTTGGTGGCCACTATGGTCAATTTTAGTCTGTCACAGTGACATCCAGAGCCTGTGCTACCTTCTTTCCTCCCAGAGAACCTGACAAATTTCAAAGAATTGCTGTATGCGTATCACATTCTGTGATTTCAACCCCCTCTAAAAAACAGCTAGAAAGAATTTTGTAAGTTGGAAATAAAGATTTCTATTATTAAAATAGCATGAAAACCAAAAGAAATCAAAATTGACATTAGCACTAAAATGGAATATATAACTACTTCCAAGGTAGTAGAGTAAAACAATGAGACAAGAAAATATTACGGTTCAATATAGTAAGAAGCAAGAAAGGAATGAGGGCACATCAGAAAGGAAGGACAAGTATTAATAGAAAGGTTGACATAATGGTAGAAATAACATTTTAGAAAATCATTAGATACATTAAAAGCAAATGGAGTATCTGGTCCTACTGAAACATAAAAATTGTCAAATTGACTCTCAAAACAAAACTCCACCATGTGTTATTTGCATGAGAGCTGACTAAAGCTAAGAAAACATAAAACTTGAAAGAAAGTTATGAAAAATTACATAGGGGAAAGGCATAAAAGGATGCTGATATAGCTAATGTTAAGATTAGAAAAAAGGCTGAGCATGGTGGCTTATATCTGTGATCCCAAGCACTTTGGGAGGCCAAGGCAGAACATTTACTTGAGCCCAGGAGTTCTAGACTAGCCTAGGCAATATAGCAAGATTTTACTCCTACCAAAATAAAAAAAATAATTAATCAGGCTTGGTGGTGTGCACCTATAGTCCCAGCTACTTGGGAGACTGAGCTGAAGTAGAAGGATCACCTGAGCCCAGGAAGTCAAGGCTGCAGTGAGCCACAATTGTGCCATTGCACTCCAGCTTAGGCGAAAGAGTAAGACCCCGACTCAAAATACATATACTAGAAAAAATACACTGTAAATTACTGATATCATTGGAGAGGAAAAGGATCACTGTATAATGAAAAGGTTTAATTTGACAGCAAAACATAGTAATTTTAAGTCTGCATGCACTTAGTAACGTAGCTTCAGAAATGTAAAGCAAAAAGTAACAGAATTACAAGAAGAAAATGACTGTGATATTAGAGAATTTTAATACCTCTCAGTTGTGATAGATCAAGTAGACTTTTTAAATGGTATAATATAAGATTTGAATAACTGATAACAAGCCTTATCTAATAGACAAATATATAACAAAGCACATAACAGCAGCAAAATACATATTCTTTTCAACACACAGAGCATTTATAAAAATGTTGTTTACAACTGCTTCCAGTTGGAATCTAATTAGTTAATGATACTGAATTAAAATTAAAGTCTTAGCTTTTTGAATGCAGTTTCATATTTTGATATATTAATACAGTTTTTTCTCATTGAAGTAATGCCTTATATTTATTCAGTATAGTGTTTTCTCTATATAAGATACTCTATATAAGATATCTATTATCTGTTCATCCTTTAACTTATTAAAAAATAATAACAGCTGACTGAACACTGCAGGAGAGTTTTTTCTTCAAAACTGTAATGGAAAATGTAGTAGAGTCCATGTAAGCATAGTAAGATGAACATGGATTCTTGGTTGGAATTCTTGCAAGCTCTGGGCTCTGGAGAAAGTTATTTAACATCTCTCTAAGCTCTGGGCTCTGGAGAAAGTTATTTAACATCTCTCTAAGCTCATCTATAAAAAGTACTGTCCACCTTGTGGAGTCATGAGGAACAAATGAGATAATGTGTATAGAGTATATAATACCAAACAAATCACTACTATTAGTGGTGTTATTATTTGGAGAATGTTTACTTAGCAACTGTAAAGTATTGGTCTCTAATTAAGTAAGCATTTTAATTCCTAAGACATATATGATTAAATATAGCAGGTATTAAAACTTAAGACTCAGCCGGGCTCGGTGGCTCAGCCTGTAATCCCGCGCCTTTGGGAGGCTGAGGTGAGTGGATTGCCTGAGCCTGCGGGTTCGAGACCCGCCTGGGCAGCAAGACCTCATCTCTACAATAAATCAAAAAATCAGCCGGGCGTGGTAGCGCATGCCTGTAATTCCGGCTACTCGGAAGGCTGAGGCGGAAGGATCGCCTGAGCCCAGCAGGTCGAGGCTGCGGTGGCCGGGAGCGGCCACTGCACTCTAGCCTGGGCGACCGAGTGAGACTCCAACTCAAAAAAAAAAAACTTAAGACTCTTACCCACATAGCCATAGAGCAGTTATAGCTGACCAACTCTCCAGATATTTTCTTCTTACTATTGTGGCATTTTTTTTTCTGCTAGCCTATAGGAAATAAACATAAGAAATTGGGAGAAAACAATTGGCTGCTCAAAGAATTTCACCTCTTACATAAGCTTTCTTAGATTTTATAGCATTTAACACTTTGGTTGGCTTTATGAATGTGAAGTCATTTTGTACTTTGATTTTGACCTTTCAAAATACACTTTTGCTTTTGCCAGTGTTTTCCCAAATTCTGATTAGTGATAAGTTTTAAAGCAATACTAAGCCCAAGTCCAAAGGATGCATTTCTTTTTTGTGTTTTTTTGTTTTTTGTGGTTTTTTTTGAGTCAGAGTCTCACTCCATTGCCCAGGCTGGAGTGCAGTGGCACACTCACGGCCACCCCAGCATTGACCCACTGGCTCCAACATCCTTCTGCCTCAACCTTCCAAGTAGCCGGAACTATAGGCACGTGCTACCACACCTGGCTAATTTTTTGATTTATTGTAGAGACGAGGTCTCACCAAGTTGCCCAGTCTGGTCTCGAACCCGTGGGCTCAGGTAATCCTCTTGCCTTGGCCTCCCAAAGTGCTGAGATTACAGGCTTGAGCCATCAAGCCAGGCCTAGGATGCATTTCTTATCTCTCATCTAACCAGTTACCCAACTCTAAAGAAAAGGCCTAAATTTGCATTTTAATTGTTTGATTCCCAAGAGAGTATAGATTTCATATTTTGAAGTATTTAGATAGAAAATCCATAAAATGCTCATGTAGGGAAGGAATGTGCTTTATTTGTGGTGTTAAGGATTTAGCAGGCATGTGTCTGAGTCACTAAGAAAAAGAAACTGTCTCTAGTGGAATCATTAAGGACTGATTGTTGGTTTGAATCAGTTGTTAAACTAGGACTCTGACAACTAGTTTTAATTGTTATTAAACTAGGACTTTAAACATATGTACAAATTGATGTTTATAGATTTCAAAATCATAATTTTTTTGCAGGTACTTTTGTGGACTCAGTTATATATCTTTATCAAAGGCATTGTTTCAGAAACAAAGACAACACATAACCTCATTAAATCAGTTTCTCATAAAAGTGTTCCCTTATTTTTAGATTACCTCTCTGGTGACCCTTCAACTGTTAACCCTGGTTGGCCATGACGATCAGCTTGATGGACCAAAATACAAATGCACAGTGTCTCTAGACTTCATCAGAGCTATTGCGAGGTAAGAGTAGAATGATTGATAAGGTAAAATGTCTTGAATTAGGTAAATAATATACTAAATATAAAATTAATGTTTTTCCTAATATAATGTTGTTAGTCATTTAAATAAGAAAAAAACCCCATTTAAGTGCCAAGAATGGACCTTCTCATTAAATTTGCAAATGACGTAAGATTGGGAGAAATAGCTAATATGTAGATGACAAATACTAAAATTCTGAAAGACCTTAAAGGACTGGAATAGATAATCCCATAACAGCAAGGTCAGATGTGGCAGACAGTTGGCTACAAAAAACTGTTACATACTAAAACAAAATAGAAGATACCTGGCATAAGTCTTAAGTTTTTTAGCTGACTACAAGGCTATAAAATTCCTGACTTAGGTAACACTGATAGAAATATAGTGTCTACCTCAAGGGATATAATAGTTCTCCTATGTGCTGTCATAGGCAATCAAATCTAGTGTGCTGTTCTGTGTTTAGAGTTTTCAGAGAGTCACTGATAAATGGGTACATGCTGGGGAAGGGGCAGGAGGGGAGTGGTAAAATGAGGAATCCTGTTACAACCCCCAAGTATTTCAGAGGCTGTCATATGCAAAATGGTTGAAATTAATTCTGAATAATTGTAGAACATTAAAAGTTTTAGGGAAGAAAATATGCTTGTCAAAATGAGAACTGTCTGAAAATATAATGAGTTTCATGGAAAATGTTCAAACCATTTATATGAGTGACTTCATCTCATGGTTGCAGCTGAGATGGTAGGTAGTCAAACAGGTAATGTGTAGGCTGAACAAGACAATCCATAAGACAGTGTGTTACCAATCTTTTTGAATATGAAGGTTCCATTCTAGCATCCTTTTTAAATTAATCATAAAGTTTCCCATAGCTCTTAGGATAAATAATAGAATCTTTTAAATAGCCTGCAAAGCCCAAATGATCTGGTTCCTGCCTGTGCCGGCCACATCTGGCATACATACCTTCTTTCCTCAGTATCTGTACTTTAACCACTTTGGCTCTTTTCAGTTATAAATTCACCATTCTGCTTCCTATCCTTGGCTATGCAGCATTTTCCAACTTCTCCTTCATCTTTATAACTGCTACATATTTAGACTTCACTTTAAATGTTCCTTAAAGAAACCTTTTCGAACTTACCACGATCACTATCATCTCGCCCTGTCCATACACACACCCAATTAGGAAAGTCCCATTTTGTTCCTCATGATACTTCTCATAGTTTTAATTAAATAATTAATTGAATGGACTTCATCTTTTTTTTAGAATATAAGTCCATGAAGCTCAAAGCAGACTGTCTTTCTATTCCTGCCTTGTCCTTAAATCTAGCACAGTGCTTTAAACTTAGTAAATGAGTAAACATTGCCTGTTTTCTATAGTGATTAGCAGTAAAACATCAGATGAAAGGGAACCATGTGAACTTGTTTTCTGGGGCAGCAAGAAGAATAGAGTTAAGGAGACTGTCTCATTCCTTGATAAGAGAGGAAGTCCCAAGAGTAGTTACCAAAGAAGAGGTAGGTTAACCTACTTCCAGATAGCTGTGACAGAAAACAAGTAATTAGATCACAGGGATCATCACAGGACACAACCTAAATGGCTACACTGGGAATCAGTTCATCAGTAACTTATCATACATTCTTAAGAAAAAACACTTCGTAGTTATTGAAAATTATACTTTTGAAGGAAAATACACATGATGTGAGCTTAAATGGATAAAGCAGTTACATATAAAGTTGTATATACAAGACAACTAGGAAAACCTAAGGAAAGGAAGTCATGACCAAAAGTCAATCGCTGCCAAGAAATCAAGCAGAGAAATCAAGCAGTCATTTGTTTGTAACTCTATCAGGAATACTTTTCAGTAGTATGATGAAGTAGAAATCAGGTATAGTGAGTGTAAATAGTATTTATGAGTGTACATGTAGCAAATAGAGATAATGCTTTTCATTCATTTACAAAGATTTAACATTGTGTTGCCTATAATTTATAAAAAGAACACAATGCTAGGCTTTGGGGAGATGTAGCAACATGTATAATGTAGCTATATACTATTCTCATGAATATGTATTCTAGGATTTTTTGCAACAAAAATAGGATTATATCTCCTAAAGGGATTGTAGGGTTGAGAGAGGGCTGTCATTTCTTTCTTAAAGATTTGAGCAAATTTAAATGCCAATAGGAAAGAAAAGATAGAGAAGAAGAATTAATGATATAAAAAGAAATATTAATTTAAAGCACAAAATTCTTGAAATGTTACATAACCATGGAATTTAGAATATGAGTTAAAACAGCTCTGGATGAGGGTGGGGAATCCTCTTGTATTATAACAAGAGGAAAAGATGGATTCAGACGGAGCTGAATTTGGAGTTTGGGTGGCACAAAGTTGAGCGAGCTATGATCTAATTATTTCTATTTTCTCTGTGAAGGAGGAGGCAAAATTGAGACCAAGGGCAGAGGTGGTGGCAGTTTAGAGAAATATGGAAAGTTTTCAATAGCTGCCATGGGTGATAGAAGAAAGTGTTATAAGGAAAGCAACTTGTTGAGAGTGTTGAGGTTTTTGACCTTGAATTTACAGTGGCACTAATCTGTGAGACTTATGATCTGCTCCAACAGCATTCCATGTGCTAGAAACTAGGATAGCAAAGAATTATAACTGAAATCACATCATAGTATTGGGGCTTTGCCAGGTGAGTTCAGTAGATGCTTAGCAAGTGAACACTTGACCTCATGAGCCATGGAATCTAAACTAGAAAGGGCAGGAAGGAGGAAGTAAAGCCAGTCAGGGGATAATAGTGGCGCCTGGCATATAGATACTCAGGAAATATTTGTAGATAAGGAGAAAATAAGGGAGTTTGTGAATTGATTGTCCCAAGATGTTCTAGATAGCAAAAAAGGAAGAAATTGGGGATCAGAAAATAGAGGGTTTGAATTATGTTTTCAGAGGTAGAGCTTTTTTGAGTATCATCAAAATGTTAAAGACAGTCATTGGTATGAGAAAGAGAAGTGTTCAGTGAAGTCACTCGGTTGATGGAGATCTTGGGATGAAAAGGAAGGCTGAATTGTATGTTTAATTATTCTATGACTAAGGGATGGTGACAAGGGGAGGGGTGACCAAGTAGTGAACTGAATGGTCCAAGTCTCAGAGGAGTAGAGCTTTTTGCACAAGGATGTCAACCCCACCTGACAGAACTGTCTGGGGTATAGTAGAGAGTTAACTTTCATTGAAAAGAATCAAAGAAACTGTCCTTTGTGGGAAGCCAAGTTTCAGTTAAGCTTGGAAGGAGACCAAGGAGCAGTAGAAAAGTTTGGACAAGAAGCAGTAGGAAGCTGATTCCAGAAAGGGAATACAGAATATGGAGGTAGAGTAAGGGAGAAGGCAGATAACAGATGAACTGAGACGCTTGTTAAATATTGTTCCTGCATTGTTCTTAATGTGAATAGTAGTTACCAATTTATAATTGTTTTTCTCCATAGTCAGTGGGAAGACACCATAAGATAAATTAAGCTGCAGCATAAAGTGATATGGTTGAAGTTGTCAGAAGAACCAAATTTAAAAAAAAACAAACTCAAACTCAAACTGCCCTTAAAAACAAAAGGAAGTAAAATAGTATCCTATAGGAAAAGAGTATTTTATTTTTTTAAATTTTTTTATTTTTTGAGTTGGAGTCTCACTGTATCGCCCAGACTGGAGTGCAGTGGCCGCTCCCGGCCACCGCAGCCTGAGCCTGCTGGGCTCCAGCGATCCTTCCACCTCAGCCTTCCGAGTAACTGGAACTACAGGCACACCCTACCACACCTGGCTAATTTTTAATTTATTGTAGAGATGAGGTCTCGCCAAGTTGCCCAGGCGGGTCTCGAACCCACGGGCTCAGGCAATCCACTCACCTCAGCCTCCCAAAGGCGCGGGATTACAGGCTGGAAAAGAGTATTTTAATACAGAATAAAATAACCAACAAAATGAAATAAAAGAGTATAGGCATAATTAAATCCTTAAATATACGCCATATAATTTACTTTATTAAAGTATTTTAAATTCTCAGAATTACTCTTAGAAAAATTACCAGCACGATTTGTGTTTGCTCTATTTTTTTTCTAGCTGCTTACTTTAGAAAATAATTCACTTTTGTTCTGTGGGAGAAAGACTCTGCTGTAGAATATAAAAGTTATCCAAAGTCTTATGGTTGTGTTTACATGAATCTAATAGCATGTGAAGCCATGAAACGCCAGAGAACATACATACAAAGTCAGAAGTCTCTTTGTAAGTTGAAACTTTCTTTAAAGTGGATTGTTTGACTTCAAGTACATTAAAACACAATGTTATCTTTGGAGTGTGTGACATAATTTTTGATGTTGGTTCTTTGGTTATTCTAATGAATTCTTCCATGGGATCAATTGGCAAGTCACTTATATCAGGAGTGGAGGAAGGATAGAGGTACAATAAATTTTTGGCAATAAATGTTTCTTAAAGGAATTATCTTACATTCAATTCCTGATTAATTTAGTTTTTTTTTTTTTTTAGAAATCTAAAACTTACTGTATGATTCAGTTTGCATGAGTACTTAACAGTAACAAAGAGTAGAAATGGAGTATAGCGAAGCTCTTATGAACGAATACATTTAGGTTTCTTAATGTTTTAAAATCACTCCATTCATTCTGTTAAAGAAAATTTTATTGCACAGGTTATGCTATCATAACACAAATAGATTTCTCAAAAAAATAAAGGGACCAGGTGTGGTGGCTCACACCTGAACCCAAGAATTTTGGGAGTCTGAAGCAGGTGGATTGCTTGAACCCAGAAGTTTGAGACCAGCATGGGCAACATAAAGAAACCTCATCGTACAAAAAATAAAAAACAACTTGTCAGGCATGGTGCTACATGCCTGTAATCCTAGCTACTTGGGATGCTGAGGTGGAAGTATTGCCTGAGGCCAGGAGGTCAAGGCTGTCATGAGCCATGAGCATAGTGATTGTGCCACTGCACTCCAGCCTAGGTGACAGAATGAGAGTCCCTGACTCAAAAAAATAAAAATAAAGGAGTCATGCCACAAACATCACAGCATTTTCATTGATGCCCTCTTCTAGTAATAGTTCATTAGACAAACATTTCTCTGTAGCTGTCACGACATATGAGGGGGGAATTATCTTTTGGTGGACAGGCCACTTAAAATTTGTTCCTCCAGATCAAACGTTCAACCAAAGTTTTTGTATGGAAGTTTTGAGAAGGTTGTGTCACAATGTGTTGAAGAAACGTCCTGAGTTGTGGCAAATAGCTGACTGGTTCTTCCATCATGACAGCACACCTGCCCATACTGTGATGACCCCTGTGTCCCATCCTCACTATTTACCTGATCTTGCCCAAAGTGACTTTTTTTGTTGTTTCCTCGGATGAAAAAAGTCATCAATGGGAAACATTTTGCTGATGTGGGAGAGGTGAAACAAAAAAAACAGCAGAAGCACTAAAAGGCATTCCTAAATTGACAAGTTCAAAAACTGTTCTGAGCAGTGGAGAAAGCATCTTGATACATGTATTGCCTCAAATGGAGAGTATTTTGAATGTGACTGAAGTTTAAACATGTAAGAATTAATACACAATTTTTTAATTAAATAAGTTCCAGTTTTTTGGGGTCCTCCTCGTATTTGCAAGTCTGTGGTCTCCTTTTCTCACTTAATATTGTTGGTACACCTTCTTAGTGAGCATTTCATGTGACTGTGTAATATTCCATTAAGTAATTTAGGAATTCTCCTTGTTTTGGAATTTAAGTTGTTTTAATCTTAGTTTCCCTAAAACTTTTGTTTGATCCAATGCCAAAAAAACCCAAAAACCAAACCAATAGCACAACATTGTAGCTACACAACCCAAAGTCATTGTGGGGAATATGCCTGGAGAGATGTACAAATTCCACTCACCTTTTTTGTCAGTGGTTAACAGTAGTCTACTATACCTGTCTCTTGTCTAAGGTCCTCTAAAAAACGTCTTTTCAGTAATTTAGTGTCATTTTTTAAAAATCATGGGTTAGAAGTACTTTGTTGCCAATAAATGTGGATGATTCTAGAGCTGAATAAAAAAATAAAATAAAATGACTTTATTATTTAACAACCATACCTCTCTGTCTTTATGCATAAGTTTTGTTTTTTAGTTTAAGCAACTTTTTAGTTGTTACATCATTACTGATGATAACAGGATTATTTTGGCAGTGCTTTATACCATTTGGAAAGGTTCCGTATTCTTCAAAGAGGCACTATTATAATAAAATAATTATATTCTTCAGTCCACCATTAGGTACCACAATAGCCATACCATCTCTTTTTTAGCTATTTTTAAATGTGTTTTCCATAGCTCCCCATTCCACATTTTTAAAAAAATTACGTCAATCATCTGCTTAGAAACTTTTTTAGACAATATATTACAAAATAATAGACAAAAACATTAATTGATGATGGTTTAATAAATAAGAGCATGTAATTAGTGAATCTTTAAAAGCCTGTTCTCACATGGATGATTATTTTTGCAGAGTTGAACACTTAAGGCTTTAATTTTATACTTATTGCTAGATCATTATATCTAATTATTTTGACCATTTATTCAAATAATAAACTTCCAAGTCTGAATATTTATAGTGAAGAATGAGTTTGGTGAAAGGAAAATAATTATATGTCTCTCTCTGCTATTTTATTCTGCCTGCTATCAGAGTACAAAAATATACATTCATATCGTCTGTTTGTTGTATCGTATTCTTGGATCATACAGATTTAGTTACAATACACACACAGGTCAGCCAGCATTAAAAGACTGAAAAGAATGAAAACTACAAATGAGGACAGATGAGCTATGCATTATGTAATGATAAAACAGGTGTTTTGGAAGATAAACAATGTTCAGAAGCAAAGAAGATTTAAATACTTTTGCATCTCTAATTATTCTGATTATTAGACAAAAAGCAAATTGCTTTCAAATGAAATCTAAACTTTTTGTAGTACAGTTGAAGTATAGAATATTGAATAGTTCTAACTTTGTTTCCTTTTTTTCGAAAGGTAAACTTGGTGCTTGGCAAAAAAAACTTTTTAAAAAAAATTGTTTCTGGTGACGTTGAAAAAATAAGTGTCAGATCTATTGGTGCACTTGTTAGCACTATAGGATTGTTTAGCATTAGTTGTGAATTATTTTGCATTTATTTCTCAGAATTATATAAAGCTGAGCAATCTGGGGTGAGGATGCTAACATATTATCTGTTTTTGTTTATAGGACGGTGAACTTTGACATAATAAAATACTTGTATGATTTCTTGTGAAAACAAGCTTCAGAGCCATATGGACACTGTGACAATGACTAAGCCAAGCTGTGTTCCTCCAACTATTTAGCTGGCCAGGGAAAGGTGGTCTTTGGCTCTATTGGATTTGTCCAAACAGGTGCTGGCCCAGCATGGAATCTGATGAAAATATTCTGATTGGTCTGGGTGGATGTGAGCAGAAGACTATTTACCAGGGACCCTGGAGTATTTGGAAGCAATGTGTTAATTATAAACAGCAGGGTTTGAGCACAATCTGTTCTACTCTTAATGATGTTATCTTAACACTGAAATTGCCTGAAACCCATTTACTTAGGACTACATTTTGCTGTGTGAACTATCCCCTGCGCTTTGAACGTGCCAGCAGCCCTTGTTTATATGCCCAGTCTTTTCACTTCCTCTCCACGGGAGCCTCTGCAGTTGCTTGCCAAAGCAGATTTTCCTAAGGCCACCCTTTTAAAAGATCATAGTTGCAAAATATAATAAATACAAGTTTTTTTGAAAATCCAAGCTTGTATACATTTATCTTTTCACTCAGTTTTCTCAAAAGGCAAGGTAGTTTGGTCAGATATAGATCAACTTTCCATCTCTAAGCCTCTATGATATGTTTGTGTAAGATTTATCTGGTCACTCTTGTAATTAACCACTCAACCTAGCTTTTTATCAGCATGATGGTTTTATTTTTCTCTCTCTCTCTCTCTCTCTCTGTAGTCATTGGTCTTTAAGAGTTCCACAATAAAATTTTTTCCTGTTATATGAACCTTGGTTCATATTTTCTTGTCTGTTCATATTTTTGAAGTTGTTAGCATTTGAATGCTTGAAAATTGTTTTGAGCAGATTTAAAGAGCTTAATTATAGAGCCTAGTTTAAATTTCAGTGACATTTTATTTCTTCATTCTTTTTTGAAGAAAAATTCTCACAATAGGCACTTTCAGATAGGAAGCCTTTTTTTGTAGTGATTGTCTAATACTATCTGGTTCAAAGAAAACAAGTAGTTATCTACTCCTTTTTGTTTAGAGGTAATTAGCTAGGGAAAGAAGGAATGGAATTCCTTTTTGCCTCCCTACAGAAGACAGCAAGAGAAGATTTTCCTGCCCAAAGGGTGGCATCTACAGCAAGTGATAGACCATCCTCATTCCAAGTTTCTTGTCCCACAGAAATGAAGTTTTGTTTTGCAAGATTTTAGAGAAGCCTGTGAAAAGCCATGAGTAGTGCAGATTCAGGCTTAGGTTTTCTGCACATGGAAATCCATATGTCATTAATGTAGAAATCAGTTTGTGTAGATAATTCAAGGAAGAGCCTTGCCACTTGGGATAGAATTCAGCCCCTCATATTGTGCTGTGCAGACACACGTCTACTGTGCAGCCTGTCGTGGACAAGCTAACCAATCTGCACTTTGAGAGAAGAACTCTGGGGTATCAGACAGACTATCAAATAGGAAACTGGAAAGAAGGAGAGCAAGGAGGTGAAGTTTCCTGGGAGTGACTTTCCATGCCTCCCTCACTGCTATTCACCTGCCTTTTGCTCAGCACATGGTCTGCCCTGTACTGTCCCACACGACTAGTTCCCAGCAATAGGTATGGCTTTCCTGCACAATACCTGGTAACCACATTTCCCTGCCCCTGACTGGGCCATCACAACTTTCCTGTTTTGTAATTTACTTTTAATGGCTTGCTAAATGATTCACTAACTAATTTGATTAATTTATTTAAATGAAGACTAACAGAGCTTAATGTGGATATTAGCATTTTAACAAGGGTCATCTGCAAATGGAATTCTGTAATTGGAAGATATAAATCTCCAATTACAGGAGGGAATTCAATGTGAGAATTATGCTGCCTGGCAGGCCAGAAATTTCTGTTGAGAGGAGGCACTTAAGTTACACTTGGCATCTACTTGGTCTAAAAGTGACTTAGGTGATAGAATAAGAAAGTTACTAAGTTGTGGGTTTTTAGATTATTCATACGTAGGTTACATAGGCCATTTTACAAATATCTTCTTTAAGTTACCATGGGCTAGGTATACATAGGTGGAGATCTTACTCTTTCTTTTCTCTTCCAAGTTATTTTCAACCCCTGGACCAGTTCTCTTTGATGAAGCAGTTTTCAGCAACTCTGGAAAGGACTGACCTACCAAGTCTCATCTCATTAAGCCCTAAAGTAACAAGTGGATCAAATCTTGATATCAGGACAGCAACTGAGACTTGGGGTTCCAGGGTGAGACTTTCTTAGACCTGATACCAGCTGTATTGCTACTCACTGTGTGGCTTTACACAAGTTATTTAACCTATCTGTGCCTCTATGGTCTCACCTGTCCAGTAGAGAATAGAATTTACCTCCTAGAGTTGTCTTCAGGATTAAATAAACTTTATATCTAAGGCAATAGATATATAACCCACAACTTACTAACTTTCTTATTCTATCACCTAAGTCACTTTTAGACCAAGTAGAGTAGATGCCGAGTGTAACTTAAGTGCCTCCTCTCAACAGAAATTTCTGACCTGCCAGAAATTTTTCCTGTTAGGGAACATATAGTGATTTCTAGAGACATTTTTGGTTGTCACAACTGGATGTGGGGTGGAGCTGAAGGCCAGGGATCCTACTAAATACAGTAGTTCCTCCTTATCCAGGTTTTGCTTTCCTTGGTTTCAGTTACCCACAGTGAACCTCAGACTATGGTCTGAAAATATTAAATGGAAAATTCCAGAAGTAAACACTTTATATATAAATTATGTGCCATTCTGAGTATCATGAGAAAGTCTTATACTGCCCATGACATGAATCGTTTCTTTGCCCAGCCTATTCACACTGTATTTGCCACCCACCTGTTAGTTGCTTAGTAGCTGTCTAGGTTATCAAATTGACTGTTATGGGATCTCCGTGCTTGTGTTCAAGTAAACTTTCTTTTACTTTCTGAGGGCAACAGCTGGGGCCCCATGGTTAAGTGTGCTCCCCATAGTTGGAAGTCTGGTATGCACTTTCGTGGCCACACCTCTGTCACCTTGCCTTGCCAATGTGCTCCTTCTCCAAGTTGCCCTCTTGAAAACCTAAGTACCATGTGAGCGAGCCCCATTTGGAATCTAAGTGGCACCAAAGTGCAAGAGTGGTGATGCTGGCAATTAGGCTATGCCAAAATGAAACCGTAAAGTGCTTTATGTGTAAAGGTGAAAGTTCTCAAAGGGGGAAAAAAATCATATGCTGAAGTTGCTAAGATCTATGGTAAGAATGAATTTTCTATCTGAGAAATTGTAAAGAAAGAAAAATGTGCTTATTTTGCCATCTCACCTCAAACTGTGAGTTACTCGTTACAGTTTTAGGAATTGGGTTCAGTACTACCCAAGGTTTCAGACATCCACTGGAGTCTTGGAATTTATTGCTCTCTGCAGATAAAGGGGGACTACCATATACAAAAATACACATTCCATAACAGAATTGCCTGTTGACCCTAAATGTCAGCTGTGTAGAGGTTGGGACCCCTGATCTAAGGTACTTGGGGCAGAGTAAGTGCTTAATAAATGCTAGCTATTATTGTCTTGAAATACTTATCTGTGGCCTAGAAAGGAAGTAAGTGAGGAAATGTGGCAACATGCTAACCACAGACAGAAGAGGCACATCCTTTTTTCCCATCTCCCTACCACTCTGATACAGAACATATCCTGTTTTTACTGTACTCTTACCGTACCTAGAAAAATTATTTCTTAAATTATTGAATTACTCAAATGGTCACAATACTTTGGATCTTACTTTTTAGAATCGAAGGGTTATCTGCTAGGTTCTAATCTATATGCAGATTTCATCATTTTTTCCAGGATCCTGTGGGATCAGTCAAAAGTACAGCTGAAAGTTATCAAATAAGAGAGCAGGTGACTGAGGGCTTACTTGTTTGCCCTCAAGGTGTAATGACTGAACGATTAGTGATATACCACTAACGGATTTAGTTAACCAACAACTGGTTAATGTAATTAAGGTGGTCTGGAGTGTGAAAAGTGTGTAAGAAGCCTACTCAGTCCTTCCAAAGTATGCACTACCCTGCTTATACAATCCAAAGGACAGTGACATCATAGACCAGGTCAAGGAATAATGCGTCTCTTATCACAATAAGTACTCAGAAAGTCTAAAAAATAGTAAATGAAATTCAGAACTTGTCTCATGTGCAGTCAGCTGTAATAGTGTCCTCCATTGCTACCTGAAGTCTCACACTAGCTGTCGTGTACTGTAATTGTTTTCATTACTTGCCTTTAGCCATAGGCAGAGATTTGGATTGAAGATAATTAGACCAGAGGTTGACATTATTCAGCTTCAGTTCCTACATTTTGAAAGCTCTATCTGCTACAAAGTGTAACTGCCTATCATGTGAGTAGTTTAGATAATTTTGCATGTAATTTCAGTCTGCTGACACAGTTTGCTTTCAGAAATGCTTAGTGGAACTCAAAGAAATCTTTCCTATCGAAATATCTACATTTCACTCAAATTTGCCATTAAATGCCCTGAATACACAGTTAAATGTTCATTTTGCAGTAGTGACACACATTCATGAGACACAGTATGAGAAGTAGAAATTTGGTAGAGCAGAGAAAATTATAATCCATTCATTTAACTGCATGTTGATGCACAGTAATGATTGGAATTTTAGAAGGCATTCAACTGTTTGAGTAAATAGTGGTAGGTTTGGCATGATGTAACGAGCCTGGGTTTTAGAGACATTGGAGATTTTGCTTGGCTTTTGGATAAGCCATAATCCATTTCATTGCTTTTTCAGAAGTCGAGGGTCTGATTTAATAGCAGTTTCCATTAAAAGTGAAATCATTCATTATTCATTCAGTAAGTAACAGCTATATGCCAGGCATTGTGTTAGGTGCAGGGAATACAACAGTGGAGAAAGGAGACAGATTTCTGACCTGGACAACAGGTACTATTAGTGTTGGTAGAGCCACCCCTTGAAGTAGGAAATCCAGGAAGACTAAGTCTATGGGATGGAGAATATCATTAATTCAGTTTTGGACATGTTGCTATTGAGGTACTTGTGAGAAATCCAAGTGGAAACGTGAAACAGGTAGTTAGATCTAGGTTGAAGGTCAGAGTTGTTGCTGGTATAACTGTGGGCATGAGGATAAAGGTGGTTATTTGGTGATGTAGAGGTCTCAGTCTTTAAAGTATTACCCATGACATGGTGAGGGAGATGTAAGTTAAGGAAAATATGTAGAAAGTCAACACCATTGTTCTTCAAGAACTGCAACTTGATTGTATATTTTTTCTAATAACAATTACCCATTATTCATAGAACCTTCATTCCCTTCAGCATATGAAGTGGTGGTAAGAGGCTAAGTCCTATTTATTGTCTAACCCAAAAAAGGAAAAATCAGAATCACTTAGTCATTGAACTGTGGTGAATATTAGATCATGTGGCCTTTCTGGGTGCTCTCTCCCCTTCTTCATGGCATAGTGACTAGGTTCTGAAAGCCAGCATTCCAAGAGAAATCAGCAGACAATGCATAGCCTTTTCTAATCTAGCCTCAGAAGTCTATGCCATCACTTTTGCACCATTCATTTGTTAAGTTAGAGATAAAGACCCATCTGTATTTAAAAGAGGGAGGAAATTAGACTTACCTCTTGATGAAAGGAGTATCAGGATTTGCAGACATACTTTAATCACCACACAGAACACAATAGGCCGAAAAGGTTTTTATGGGATGTCATCTCAAAATTTAAATGGTATAGGAGAGACTTCTGGTTGCCTCTTCTCCCCTTCCAAGTATTTTTC